CCAGTATCTTTTTACTCAGAAGGAACTAAATCTTCGTCAACGGAGGTGGATGGAGTTGCTCAGCGATTATGATTGTACGATTGATTATCACCCTGGTCGTGCAAATGTAGTTGCTGATGCACTTAGCAGGAAGTCTCAGGGTCGCATTAATGCGTTGTATGCGAGTCGTATTCCTCTTTTGGCGGACTTGCGTTCTACAGGAGTGAGATTGGAAGCAGAAGATCGAGATGTGGCTTTACTTGCTAATTTCCAAGTTAGGCCCATCTTAGTCGATCGGGTGCTTGCAGCTCAAGTAGCTGATGAGCAGACTCAAGAACTAATCCAAGCCCGAGAACAAGGAAGGAGGAGAGACCTCAAAGTTCGTGAATCAGATGGCATGTTAATGCAAGAGGGAAGAATGTTTGTGCCAAATAATCTGGATTTAAAGAAAGAAATTCTCGATGAAGCACATATTTCGGCTTACGCCATGCATCCAGGAGCTACAAAAATGTATCATACCATTCGACCATTCTATTATTGGCCGGGCATGAAGAGGGAGATAGCTGAGTACGTGAGTAGATGTGCTGTTTGTCAGCAGGTCAAAGCGGAAAGGAAGAAGCCGTTTGGGTTGTTGCAGCCGCTTCCCGTTCCAGAGTGGAAATGGGAAAATATTACCATGGATTTCGTGTACAAGCTTCCGCGTACACATAATGGTTTTGATGGTATTTGGGTGATCGTTGATCGGCTCACTAAGTCGGCACATTTTATTCCAGTGAGAGAGAAGTATTCCTTGAGCCGATTAGCGGAGTTGTTCATTTTGAAGATTGTGAAATATCACGGTGTCCCGGTGAGTATTGTCTCGGATCGTGATCCACGATTTACATCTAAGTTTTGGGTGGCTTTTCAGGAAGCTTTGGGTACGAGACTACTCTACAGCACGGCGTACCATCCTCAGACAGACGGACAGTCAGAGAGAACTATTCAGACTTTAGAAGATATGTTGCGAGTTTCGGTGTTGCAGTTTGGTGATGCTTGGCACCAGCGGTTGGATTTGATGGAATTCGCCTACAATAATAGTTTTCATTCGAGTATTGGCATGGCGCCATTTGAGGCATTATATGGTAGGGCTTGTCGTACACCGTTATGTTGGTCAGAGGTTGGAGAAAGAGTCTTAGTGGGTCCGGAGATTATTGATGAGACTACTCAGAACGTTCAGGTAATTAAGTCTAACCTGAAAGCAGCCCAGGACAGGCAGAAAAGCTTAGCAGATCGGCATGCTACGGACAAAATGTATGAGGTCGGAGATTGGGTATTTCTGAAGCTTTCACCGTGGAGAGGTGTAGTGAGATTTGGGAAGAAAGGCAAGTTGAGTCCCAGGTACATCGGACCATACATGGTCACGGAGCGAGTTGGTGAGGTAGCTTACAGGTTGGAGTTGCCTCCGGAGCTAGCCAAAGTGCATAACGTGTTTCACGTGTCTATGCTTCGACATTATGTTGCTGATCCGTCTCATGTGATACCTCCTCAACCGTTAGAGATTAACCCAGATTTGACGTATGATGAGGAAACGGTGACGATCATTGATTGGAAGGAAAAGGTTCTGAGGAACAAGACGGTGAACTTAGTGAAAGTTTTGTGGAGGAATCATTCAGTCGAGGAAGCTACGTGGGAGACGGAGGATAGGATAAGGGACTTGTATCCTAGATTGTTCTTTGGTCACTAGGGGTTGTATTTGGTTGTTTTGAATTTCGGGACGAAATTCTATTAAGGTGGGTAGGTTGTGACATCCCGTCCCAAAATCTCGAAAACTCTCGTGTGAAATTACTATTTTGCCCCTAGTTCGTTCTTTTACGTTTATTGGTTGTTTTTGGTGTTGTGCTGGCATGACCTTGGGCCACACACACACATCCATACCTGCACCACCTTCTATCACTCTCTCTCTCTCTCTCCCGTGCTCCCTTTCCCCTTCCTTTTCACCATATATGTACGGACCACACCCAAAACCCCTCAAACCTTTGCAGATCGAGGGAACCAAGTACACCATCAAGCTCGTGAGGCTGTAAGGAGCACAGTCGTACCATTTTCAGGTAAGGTTGTACCTGTTTTCACGTCGATTCGACGATGGCAGTTTTGAGCACTATTCATGCAATATTAATCTAGCACATTTTTGGGATTTTGAAGCTCGTAGGTGTCTTAGTGGGGTTCCAAGGAGCCTTGGAGTGCTTCGTTGGTCGAATTTGGACGTCGAGAACGCCCTGTTCGAACTTGGCCGGTTTTGGAGCTTGGTGACAGGTGAAATTTAGTAGGTTTTAGCTCTTAAAAGTTGTTTGAACGTGTTCTACTAGTCTTAAGCTTTAATTTGGTGCAAGAATCGTGAAAAATGGTTGAAAAACGAAAGAGAAATCAAAGTTTGAAATTTTCTAGGTTTTCCGACGCCGGCGACGGCGCCGGTGTCTCGCTGGAGAAGGTGACGGAATATTCCGTCAATTCTGACAGAATATTCCTGACGCCGTTAACGGAATCTGTCAAAACTGACGGAATATTCCTAACGGCGTCAGTTGACGCCGTCCGTGTGCACCGCACGTGCCTGCGCGTGGCGGCGCGTGCAGCGGTGGAAAATTTTTCTAAAAATATGGTTGTGATCCTGAGGTTGTGTAGAGCACGTTGGTATATTCAATTGTTCATTTTGAGCAATGTATGAGAAGTTATTTTGAACGGAAGGTTATGTGCTTTAAAATTAACGTTTCTATAGTATTTTCGCATATAGGTGATACGTATCCCGAGGACGAACGTGCTCACTTGAGGCAGGGGGGCTACGACCCTTCCACATACCTGTGAGTGGGCTTTTGTTTTCCATATATACCTATATACATATAATTCCCAGAAATTTATATAAATGCTTATTCGTTATATGTCATTCTTTTTATATTATTGGTGGTTATGCATGACTAGTTGCATATACGTTTATTTATATATTCAATTAGATTTATATATATGTATATAATGGTGCTGTGGAGGCACAGGTAAGTGCCAGGTAAGCGTTATTTAACAATTGCATTAAATAGGGGTTAGAGATGATTAGAGAGCTCATAACCTGCACCCCCGGTGTTAGTGCTCCCGCCCAGAGTAGGGCACAGTCCTTCATGTGTCGTTCACCTCCCGCACCACACGCTCAGCTTGGATCCAAGTTAGGTGCAGTCTTGTCGTACTGACCACTTTAGGTGGTTCCGACTCGTAGGTGACCCGTGATTATTCGCACAGCCTTCACGTGATCGTAGCACTAGAGCGTTTATATGTATTACACCCAGGCCTGTCGTACAGACCACTATAGGTGGTTCCGACTCGTGGGCAGGTTTAGTGATTGAGATTGAGATTTGAGCTCTAGATTCAGCCGTACAGGTCACTTAGGGGACTCCGGCTGCCAGTGATGTGTTATTGATACGATTTATACTTGAGCACTTACATTTCAGCATGAGATTTGGTATGGCATATCCTTGAGCATGATTGACATATTTATTGTATACGTACATATGTTTATTTTTCTGGGAAGTATACAGGTTTTACGGCGAGGGGTTAGAATGTATTTTACTAAATGGTTTTCAAAGAGCTTTGTTTTTGCCCACTCACGCTTTTGTTTTGCGCCCCTCCAGGTTCTAGTTGCTTAGCAGGTTCGGTGGTTTCCCCAGAGGGCTTCCAGGCATTTCTGACAGACACTCACCAATGTAGGGTCACCTTCGGGTGTACTGTTGTCACATCATTTTAATTTGGACTGCTGTAGACTTATTGCTCTGAACTTAGCGTCTCACTTACGCTAGCACACTTACTTTGACCTTGTATGCTAGTTTTTAATTACTCGTACTTTTATATTGTTACTTTACTAGCTTCCGCACTGTGCACATGGCTACGTCACTTCCACGTGACGGCCAGCACGCCCTGATCTCGGTCGGGGTGTGTCACCTCTCATCGCTCCTCATCAAATCCTCACCCACAAGGTAACTTCCAATTATTCTTTTCAAATTGGGATTAATTACCAAATTAATTGCAAGATATTATTTGACATAATATCTTGCAATTAGAGCAAGTTCAACCATAAGTGGCCATTCCTTATTTCTCCAAATATGGCCGGCCACACCCCTATATATAGCCCCACATTTCTCAAAAAACCTAAGTTCATTCTTCTCCTACAATTCTCTAAACACTTTCTCGCTCAAATTCTAACTTTGGTATTGGAGACTCTTCGGGCAAAACCCCCCATTCATCATAGGTGTGTGTGGCTCTTTGCCTTGATCTTAAGTTTTAATTGTTTTGCAGGTGCATTTTCGTCTAAGAAGAAGAAGACAGAAATTTACATCCACAGTGTGCATATGCTTTTTGAATTTTATAATTTTAACAGAGAGTTGTTACAAGAACTCAAAAAAGTTATCTAGCACTCATGGTGCGAAAATAAGGAGAAATTGTTTTTGGAGGAGTGCGGATTACTATTTGGGATTGGCGGTAACTATTCCCTTACAGTAATTAGTTTTATGGGTGTGTGGGTAAAGAACAAGTGCATTTGTGGTGACAAATGATTGTATTGTTGTATGTATTTCCAGAAATTATTTGACACGAATGTTTTACTCTTCCTTGAAAGTGGAAAGCAAATGAATTGAGTAGTGAACCTGTAGTAGAAAGGATGTACTAGAGGGAAATTCAAATCCATGTTCCTAAGGACAGATGAAGCGAATGGATAGCTTGTGGGATTGACCTGTGTATAAGGTAGCACCAAAATGCTGAGGTTGTCTTACATTAATCTGGGAGCACTCTCTTGGATGAAATAGTGAAGGCAAAAAGTTTAGCGTACGATATATTTTAGCGATCGGAACTTGTTTACTTATAAAGTTATTCTCCAAAGAAAGAAAGTGTCTCATAAAATAATAATTGGCATAATCTAATCTGAATCATCGGATATCTATCTTGCAACGGTTAACGGTTATGATTGAAATAGTGTATGTCTAGCAAAACTAACTAGGAGTACACGGAGCCGGCCCTTCCTGGATCTGCATTCTGCATTGCGCATGTCTACTTTCGTGCTTGCTTCAGGCTCAATACGACGCCGTCGCTGCTGGAATTCCCTTTCTTTCTTTTGAAACATTAACCGTTGACATTTTGCTATGCTAGCTTCCTCCGCTCATCAAATCCTCAAGTGGCATCTTGGTAATTTCCAATGCTTATAAACCCTGTCCTTTTTTAACCAGGACCGGCAAACTGGCAAACGGAAGAGGGAAACCAATTGTGGCTGCGCTGGGGTTCGGCGGCGGCGGAGGCGGCAGCAGCTACGCTATCGACAATATCGACGAGGTTTCGCAAATGTGGCTGAACCCTCACTCACTACCCTGAATCCTCCTCCTCCTACTCTTCCAATTAAATTAATAATACGGTAGTAATTATGCTTATTTCACTCAGAAATCTAGCCAAATCCAAGGCCAATACCAACTGCTCCCTCTGCTGCTCCTCCGCCGCCATCCTCGATGCCACTTTTCTCCTCACCACTACCGCCGCCGCTGCTGCCACCAGAACCAGCAGCATTAGCGGTTGTTGTTCCTTCAGTTTCGGCCCCAACGCTCCCCCTCCCCCCGCTCCTTTTTCAACCTCAGCTCGCTTGACTCCGGCAAGGGACGTGGTCCTCTCTTTCAAAGAATGGTTCAACACCCGCAACGACGCCTTATTCGACCGCATCTTCCTCATCCTCAAATCCTCCACCGACGACGACGTCTTGGCCCTCTCCCATCTCAGCGTCCGCCTCTCGGAGTCCTTCGTCCTCGAGGTCCTACGCTACGGCAGCAACGACCATGACGTCCTCTCCTGCCTCAAGTTCTTCGACTGGGCCGGCCGCCAGCCCGGCTTCCACCACACCCGCGCCACCTTCAACGCCATCTTCAAGATCCTTTCCAAGGCCAAGCTCATGTCCCTTATGCTCGACGTCCTCTCCACCTACAGCAAGCAGAGGTACGCCCACACTGTCCGATTTCACGACACGCTGGTCATGGGCTACGCTGTCGCCGGCAAGCCCGACATTGCTCTCCAACTGTTTGGTAAAATGCGCTTCCATGGTCTGGACCTCGATTCCTTTGCCTACCATGTCCTTTTGAATGCTTTGGTGGAGGAGAGTTGCTTTGATGCCGTTCAGGTCATTGCCAAGCAGATTTCTTTGAGGCGTTTTGAGAACGAAATCACCCATTCCATTATGCTCAAGTGGTTGTGTAAGCAGAAGTTGCTCGATCAAGCTGAAGCCTATTTGCGCCAATTGGTGTCTGACGGCAAGCCCGTCACCGGGCATGCAGTCAGTGTCCTTGTGGACGCCCTTTGTAAGCATAAGAAGTTCCAGCAGGCTGGTGAATTAGTCGAGGAGTTTCGGGACTTGGGGGTGGCTCTCATGGAGAGTGCTTATGGTGTGTGGATACGCGATCTTGTTCAGGCTGGGAGGTTGGATGGAGCATTGGAGTTTTTTCAGAAAAAGAAGTCTTTGGAAGGATATATGCCCGATGCTTTTAGGTACAATACTTTGATATGTAGCCTTCTGAAAGAGGATCGCCTCGAGGAGGTTTGTGATTTGCTGATGGAGATGAAGGAGAATAAGATATCCCCTGATAAGGTCACCATGAATGCTGCCTTGTGCTTCTTTTGCAAAGCGGGGATGGTGGATGTCGCACTTGAGTTATATAATTTGAGATCCGAGTTTCAGCTCACGCCTAATAGTATGGTTTACAACTGTTTGATCAATGTTTTCTGTGGGGAAGGTAGCATTGACGAAGCGTATCGAGTTATGAAGCATTCTGTGGAACAAGGTTATTTTACAGGAAGGAAAACGTTTTCTATTCTGGCAGACTCATTGTGCCGAGAGGGAAAGATCGAGAAGATGAAAGAGTTGGTTACTTTCGCCCTAGAGCGGAACTTTATGCCAAGTAACTCCACATATGATAAGTTCATTACAACTCTTTGCAGAACTAAGAGGGTAGAAGACGCGTATTTGATACATGGGGAACTCAATAGAATTAACAAGGGTTCTACAAAGAGTAGATACTTTAGCTTGATAAATGGTTTTAACGGGTTGAGCAAGGGGGATATTGCTGCCAGACTTCTGATTGAAATGCAAGAAAAGGGTCACTTACCGACTCGCAAGCTGTACAAAGATGTAATTTGTTGTCTATGTGATATGGAAAATCCAGATGAGCAATTTTTTAATTTGTTGGAGATGCAGTTGTCTTGTAGGGAACCCAGCTGTGATGTATACAACTTTTTCATCTACGGAGCTGGGTATGCCAAAAGGCCCGATCTGGCTAGACAAGTATATGAGATGATGCAGCGGAGTGGAATTCAGCCCAATTTGAGATCTGATGTTATTATGTTGCAGAGTTATTTGAAGGGTGAACGGATTTCGGATGCTTTGAACTTCTTCAATGATCTGCACGAGAGAAGAAAGGTGTTGGGGAGAAGGCTATACAGCGCCCTGATCGTTGGTCTATGCAAAGCCCAAAAGGCAGAAATTGCAGTTAACTTCTTGATGGAAATGAAAGAGAAGGGAGTGGTTCCAAGCGATGACTGTTACGAGTTTCTGATACAGTTGCTCTGCTGGAATAAAGAATTTGATATGGCAGTAAATCTCATAAATGACTTGGAGAAAGTTGGCCGCCATATTACATCCTTTACTGGTAACATACTTCTGTTGCATTCTCTGAAAACTCCAGAGCTCTACAATTCTTGGGTACGGCTGAGAGAGGAGCAGAATGAGATGTCTGGTTGTTCAATGCTTGGTCTGCTCATTGGTGCATTTTCTGGTCGTATTCAGGTGAGCCAAGATATTGGGAATTTGGAAGAAGTAATTGAAAAGTGCTTTCCCCTAGATGTGTTCACACACAATTTGTTGATTAGAAGACTAAGCCAGAGCAACATGGAGCATGCTTGTGCTTTGTTCGATAAGATGTGCCAGAAAGGTTACGAGCCTAATCGTTGGACTTATGACGCCATAGTACAAGGTTTTCTTAAACATGGGAGGACATCTGAGGCAAAGAGATGGGTAGAAGTGATGTACCGGAAAGGGTTTTATCCAACAAGGCGCACAAATCTACTCCTTTAATTGGATTTCATTAAAGTCACTAATGCTGCAATGTCTGGCATCTAATGGACATTACACAAGTTTTGCTGCATGATAATATATTTCATACCGTGGTAAGATTTTTTGTTCAGATGGAGTATTTAGATTTATGTGTAACTTCTAATTTACTGCTGAGGAAAGATATAATGATGTATGATTTATGTGTAATTTAATTTGAAATAAATTAATCTATATTCAATACTTACATCGGGTTTGGATGCAGAAATTTAATTTGGTTAAGAAAAGTCGTGATTCCAAGCATGCAAGATTTTAATTTCTTGCTTTGTATCAACAAGGAAATTCGAAAGTTATGGGTGGAAAGAATGTGGTATATATTGATATAAATAACTAGAGAGCAAGAAAAAGAAGGAAAATGAAGACGTCGACATTGGTGCTTTTCTGATGATTGCCGGTTAGTTTTTTTATTCCAGTGTACCTCTACTTTGAACACCTGAGATATATATCTGTCCTCTTCCAATGGAAGAAACAACATGCAATGGGATTCTGTTGTGTCTGCTTCTCTGGTTTGTTTTCACTTGCTGCTTTGTGCTCTTTTATTTTTACATTACCTGCTCTGCAGATTAACCTTGTGGTTTGAGATATTCGACATGAGACGGAGATATTTTAATGCAGAAGAAGACTCTGAAAATCCGTTTCTTAAAAAATCCATAAACCAGCTGGGTTCTCAAACCAGATGTAAAAAGATGAGCATTTTGATTTTAAAGTGAATGTGTCTGTATGCGTGTTTGTTTCTTGCATTTGAAGTCCTCAAAACCTAATGTGCTAGCTGCATAAATGCCTGTAAAAATTTTCATGTCGTCCACAAACTAGCTAGTTCTCATCAGCAATGCAACTTGAAGTCCAGGCCGAGCGAAAATAAGAAAACAGGATATATCTGTGTTTGTTATTAGGTAATACTTATAGCTGGATGATAGAGTTTCTCAGATTATAAACGAGAGAGTAAATGATTGAATCCACAAAACGCTAGAGTCTGATCAGTTGAAGTAATCTTAGTTGTTGATTGAGTTGTGGTCTTGTGTCTTATTGTCTGAGATTAAATCTTCATTTTGTTTGCCTTGCCTGTATAATGTTTACCTTCAACATTTCTCTCCTTCACCCCCCTTTTCTAGGCTTCGTCCCAAGTGTCTGATACTGCCAAAGTTCGCAGTTTATGGACATCTCGAAGAATATCCTCACTCAATGCACTGATTGTTGACACGGGTTCATTCATTAATATATGCATTGTGTGGACAATGAGGCCGTCTTATGCTTAGATAGGTGTAAACGTTGAAGTTAGCTGCACAAGCGTTTTCTTGGTCTAGTGAGATTCTCATTAAAACTGCTGATATGGCAAAAGAAATGAACAATTGAGCAAAGCAACGTTACACATCAAGCTCCCTCATGTGACGTTTTGCAAGTGCAGCCTCTGCTTCAGTTTCCTCGACATATGATATGAGAAGATTCGATTGGACGATGATTTCCATGCGTCATCTACATTTATTTTAACAAAAGAGGGTGTGGGAGGGGTACAAATCGCATTTCTTCTAGTGGCGGCAGGAGCCCTCGTCACTCTGTACCGATGTTCAAGCATCTCTGCAATAGAGAGGGAGATTCTCCTTAGCTTTGCTATTGCATCAGAGTCCTTGAAAAAAGCATTACACCTTTCCTTCCATATCTCCCAACAAATAACACCCACCATGATAGGTAAATGATCTTTAGTATCTCTTTGTATGTAAATGTTTATTTATTTATTTTTATTTGTTTGAACAAGCAATATTATCTGCAACCAAGTGGAAGATGGTTGGGTTTAGCCTCATAATAATGAGCTAGTAATGATTTGGTTCAAATTCGCCTTTGGTGAGAATCGAACCTAAAACTTCTCACTCACAAGTGAAGTGAAGAGGAATACCACTGAGCGTGGTACTAAGTGGCTTAGAAACTCAACATTATATTCACTAGCATATTGGATCACATAAATGTATTTTTATTTTTAAATATAAAAAATTTGGAGCAATAATAATTTTTTTGCGCAATAGTCGAATAGCTCTCGCGTCCATCAGGAGTTGCAGTTGATCTGAGTGAAGTTTCCAGAAGAAAAAGAAGCAACCTTATTAACAGAGAGTCTACCAAATTTTGAGAAGGAAGGCAAATCCAAATTTTAGATTGAATTGAAACCCTAGCTTAGCAAACTGAATAGCAATGGAGAAATCAGGGGCCTCATTGGCACCGTCGAGCTCCGATGGCTCTCGAGAGCTTCAGTGCTTCTGTTCAGTAATGAAAAATATGTTGCTGTTAGCTTGCATCTCTGGGATGTGTCACGACAGGTTGAAGTGGAGTACCAAAATTTTTGTCCTGTTCTTTTCCCTCCATTTCTTTTGTTTGCATAATAACTGTTTTCCTCGTTTTGTTTGTTTGTGTGTTTTTTTCCTTTTTATTAATCTTATTGGCAGGTTACACCATTAACTTGGCTTGAAGCCTGGCTTGACAATGTCATGGCAAGTGTGCCTGAGATGGCCATTTGTTATCATGAAAACGGTGTAGTGCAGGGATACGAGCTTTTGAAAACAGATGATATATTTCTACTAAAAGGGATCTCTGAGGAAGGCGCTCCTGCTTTTCATCCTGATGTGGTGCAGCAAAACGGCCTTTCTGTTTTGAGGTTCCTTCAAGAAAACTGCAAGCAAGATCCTGGAGCTTATTGGGTACTGATGTGATTTAATTTTATGTTAAACTAATTTTCCATTTGCCTTTTCTTTTTGCAGTTTTATTTTTGCAATTCCCATAATAATATTCATTATATCTTCAAAATTTCAGCTGTATAAAAATGTTGGGGAAGATGTCATTCAACTCTTCGATCTTTCTATTATTCCCAAGAACTGTTCTTCTAATGATTGTGATGATAGCTCAAGCTCCCTTCCTTCTCTATTGCATCGAGGAAGAAGTGATTCTCTGTATTCATTGGGGACTCTCTTGTATCGAAGTGCTCACAGGCTTTCACTATCAGTGGTATGGAAGAATTTTGACTACTTTATTCTGTACCTTCCTTTGTTCCCTTTTTAGTTATTACTAATCCATTTGGAATACCTGCAGGCTCCAAATAATATGGCAAAGTGTGCAAGGTTCTTCCAAAAATGTTTAGAATTCCTAGATGCGCCAGATCATCTGGTACTGTGTTATTAACTAATGTTTTTTGTTTTCTTTTTATTTGTTTGGTTACCAGTTCAGGATGTTTGTCAAAATCAATTGTCTCAGAAATGAAATGATAACCGTAATTGCTATACTGCTGAATAGGTTGTGCGTGCATCTGCACATGAACAATTTGCGAGGCTTATTTTGAACCACAATGAAGAGCTGGAATTAGCGTCTGATGACCTGCCTGTAGAATGCGAACTTACCGTTACTGATGCTGAAGAAGATTCTTTGGACTTTTTAAGTAGCATTTCTGAATCGACGGTCCATGAACAATCCCGCCTGGTGGGAGAGGAGAAATTGTATGATGATGGTCAAAATGTTGAAGATTTAGTAACTGAAGCTTCAGTAAAGATGACTTTAGAAGCAAATGCATATTCTCCAAGAAAATTGATAACAGAAGGTAGCATGGACTCCGGAGATTTGACAGAAGCTGTACCAAATTCCTCTGGTATTGAAAGCTCTGCAGTTTGCAAATTGCCTGCAACAAACGGACATGTAGTTCAAACTGTTGCTGAACCAATCTCTTCTAAGCTAGCTGCAATACATCATGTTTCTCAAGCTATTAAATCTCTCAGATGGATGCGCCAACTGCAAACTATTGAATCCAAGTTGATGGACCAGGAGAATGGCTTCCGACATCAACATTGGACCACAAGGTGCGGAAACTTGTTCTTTTGCTTGGAGAGTCGTATTTGGCACTTGGGCAAGCTTATAAGGAGGATGGTCAGTTGCATCAAGCATTGAAGGTTGTAGAATTGGCCTGTTCTGTATATGGATCAATGCCTCAGCATCTGGAAGACACAAAATTCATTTCTTCCATGAATAGTTTCTTTTCATCACCGATAAAATTCGATTATACAAATAAAAGGACTACATCATCTAATAGTGGTCAGGAAGATCTGAGCTCCAGCTCCACCCATGGTTGTCTTTCTTTCGAGCAGTTCTCATCCATCTACCTCTTCTGGGCCAAGGCATGGACACTGGTTGGAGATGTTTATGTTGAATTCCATTTGGCTAAGGATAGTACAATCTCTCCACCAGCGGAGAGAAAATATTCTATTAGAGAGTTGAAAGTATCATCTGAGGTTGTCAAAGAAGTTAAAAGGCTCAAGAAGAAGTTGGGGCAGTATACACAAAACTGCAGTTCATGTTCTCTAGTAAATTGTAGCTGCCAGAGTGATAGGGCAAGCAGTGGTAGCAGTGCAAGTAGTAGTAGTGGTGATATGGGCTCAGTAAGTTCTGGCAGGAAATACAGTAAAAGACCATATGCCAAGAGCAATGCCTTCCCCCTTTTAAGAGACCCAGAAGATGATAATCTTTGTTTAAAAATGGAGAGTGGAAAGGTTTCTGATTGCGGATATCTACACCAAAAGAGAAATGGCGAAACCATAGTACAATCTTCGAATACAGATCAGCTTGTAGTGAAACACATGGAATCTGGCAATTTAGGAGTGGATGACATGGGGCCACTACTGGCCTCCCAATCTAATGGTTCTCTGAGAGAAACAACGAAAGTGAAAAATGGAGGCATATTCAAGTACCTTGGTGGTCCTGCAGTTGCAGATGCTGAAAACAAACTTTCAGATGCCCTATGCTGTTATGAAGAAGCTTCAAAGGCATTAGGTGGTCTTCCATCCAGTTCTGCAGAACTACAATCTATAATGAAAAAGAAGGGGTGGGTATGCAATGAACTGGGTCGAAACAGGCTTGAAAGGAAAGAACTAAAAAAAGCTGAATTTGCTTTTGTAGATGCTATGAAAGCATTTAGAGAAGTCTCTGATCATACCAATATCATATTGATAAACTGTAACTTGGGGCATGGAAGACGGGCATTGGCAGAAGAGATGGTATCAAAGATTGATAGTCTCAAGTGGCATCCAATCTTTCATAACGCATACAACCATGCACTGGAGACTGCAAAGTTAGAATATAGTGAGTCACTTAAGTATTATGGGGCAGCAAAAGTAGAACTCAATGCTGTTGTTGAAGAGGTTGGCTCTGAATTAAACAAATTGAGGACTGAGGTATATACACAGTTTGCTCATACGTATCTGAGGCTTGGAATGCTCTTGGCAAGAGAAGATACAACTGTTGATGTCTATGAAACTGGAGTGATGGTAGATGTGCATGTTGGTTTCACTAGTCCTAGTGGCAGAAAATCAAGAAAACAATCACGAAAGCATGAGATTTCAGCTAATGATGCCATTAGGGAGGCACTGTCTGTTTATGAATCATTAGGTGAATTGCGGAAACAGGAGGCTGCATATTCCTACTTTCAGTTGGCTTGCTACCAAAGGGATTGTTGTTTGAAATTCTTAGAGCCAGATCATAAGAAAAACAACTTATCCAAAGGTGAAAACACAATTATCCAACGGGTCAAGCAATATGCATCCTTGGCGGAGAGGAACATGCAAAAGGCCATGGATTTTTATCGCCCAAAAACGCATCCTACCATGTACCTAACTATTCTTATAGAGAGAGCAGCTCTTTCACTGAGCCTTTCAAGCCGTTTACACTCAAATGCAGTAAGTTCTTGAACTTGCTTTACACATAATGCTTTGAATTTCAAATAATGCTTATACACATGCATGCATGAATTGCACCACATTTAGCTGTGTGCGAAATCAAAATATAATTAAGTATTTTAGATGAGAAAATTTAGATTTGTTAATTATTTGATGAAGGCATAATGCTCTTTTGCTCTTTTTCTTTGCAAATTGAGATTTTATGCTAATTTAGGAATTTTAAGGGGAATTGAATCCTAGTTCATCGATCTGCATTCCTTCATGTTGCCTTTTTATAGGCTTGGAAATCATGGTGTCTTGGCCATTTTGGTTGCTTTTTGTTTCCCATTGGTGTTGTTCTAGATTTCCGACTCTCTTTCCCTCTTCCTTTGCCTTTGTTTGTTCCATAAAAAGAAATTTTATTCTTGAATTTGTTCGTTTTTGGTGAACTCTTATGATCTTTGCAAAGAGGGGGAATGCTATACAACTAGCCATGAACAGATTATGTCTCTTGTAACTTCAGCTTATTTGATCTTATCCCTTTGTATTCCTGGCTGACGCATTTTTTATTCATCTTAACGACTCTCTGACGTGTACTGTTTATCATCATGGATCATGACATTAAGTTGGTTAGGAGTGCGATTTGATTAGGATCTGATCAAGGGATTTGATCTTGATTCTCGGACTGGCCCCATAAAAAATCGGACATGATGTACTCATACTAGTGGAAGTTGATCAAACTCCTCTTTTTTCTTGTCTATCTGTACTGCTGCATCTGTCTTCCTTAGTCTTCACATCAAGCAGTGACAATGTAGAGTCCATCTTTACATTTTTATTAGTTATACTGCAATTAATTAACGTATATTGGTTTGCATCTTTTCTTGGGGTTGAATCATTAAATAAATACATGTCATAGTTACGTTGCATAGTTAGTCTTGCTAAGTACACTGACTATACTGACTACATATTGAACGTTATGCTATTTTTTTATTTGGAGAGTTCATCATATTACGACTTTGTATGATTTTATTGAGATAGTTATAGACTCATAGTTTATATATTCTCGTCTTCCTGTTACTGTTTCTGTTATTAAAATACTCGGAAGAGCTGAAATGTTTCTTGTGTTCCAGATGTTGGAATCAGCTTTGTCTTGCTTGCTTGAAGGACGGTATGTGTCGGAAACAGACTTGGACTCTTCGAAAACCAACCACCTCGAGGTACATGCCAAGTTTTGGAATCAGTTGCAGATGCTTTTGAAGAAGATGCTGGGTATGGCGCTTTCCTCACGCGCAAGCAAATCTTCGGTTTCTCAGCCAGCTTCAGCATCCAACAGGTGTGTGGATACTGGCAAACTGAGGGAGCTTTACAAATTATCCCTCAAATCCACAAAGTTGAATCAATTGGATGCTATGCACTTCTTGTGGACATCATAATCTTATGGTTTGTTTGGATGTGCTTTTAAAATGACTGAAAGCGCTTTTAGAGAATGTTTTTGGGTTTCAAAAGCACTTTAAGTGCTTTCTACAAGAAACACCAATTATGTGCTTGCACTTTAAGTGTTTTTTCAGAATTTACTAACATTTTAACTAAGGATTTTTTCCAAAAATATTTTCATCAAAAGCTCTTTCAGTCATTTTAAAAGCACATCCAAACGAGTTCCTAATCTAGAACTTGTTTTTGCGCAACCACCCGATCGCACTTATATGTCGATAACAGACTAACAGAGTGGAGAGAGAGAGAGAGAGATAGAGCTTGGGTTTGTAATATTTTGTATTCTGCACTGGATATCATACCACCACAGCATTGCTTCAGGAATTGACATGCATTGTATGTATGTGTTGTATTGTATGCATGCACGCATGTATGTATTTATGTAAGTAATATGTATTGAGATAACTATACGCTCCTGTCTCAGAATCCTGGAAAAAAAAGGGAAAATTGCTAAAAGTTGGCTCAATTCGAGCCCTTTGATACTCTATTTGAGTTTTTAACTCCAAAGCTGTTTTCCACCTTTTTAGTGTGGGTGAGAAGAAAACTGAACGTCTGATCGTGCAATTTCAGCGAAATTTCTCCATTCAATGAATTTGAAGATTCTCTCTTAAAAGTGAGATTTTTCATGGACTCTTTGCCATTTCATGTTCTTGGCAGAATGTTTTATAATGTTGGCAAGAAAATCGATTTTAAATTGTGAGCTCGCAGAGAGTCCATAAGAAGTCTCACTTTTAAGAAAGTCGGCTTAGCATTTATCTTTATAATAGTGTTACTCTAGGGCATTTAAGAACATTTTCAATAAAGATGTTAAAAGATAAATGTCAAATGTTAATTTAAACGGTTGTGAGGCAACGTTAAATTTCTTTCTACTCCAACCCATATGTTTTTCACATTTAAAACTATAAACATATGACTTGGTCTAAAAAAGAAAAGATAAATGTCAAATGTTAATTTGAACAGTTGTGAGTCAACGTTAAATTTCTTTCTACTCCATCCCATATGTTACATTTAAAATTATAAACGCAGGACCTGGTTTAAAAAAGAAAATTAAAAGCAATATTCATAATCTGTCAAATTAGGTTATTGTTCAAAGATAATTCAAAGACTAAAAATTCCAGAATATAGGGTACTTTGAAGAACCATGAGTTCACATGTAGAGAAGAATTTAATGATCCAAAGCATGTAAAACTCATTTTGCTATTGCCCTGTTGCCATCGGATCATGTAAGGTACAACAATTCCAAGTGCAACAGAAGTCAATCATGCTTCATGTTTCAAAGGAGCATTCCCCAAGCAAAAATTCGACATACAAATACGATGAAAATAGCTCAGATCAAAAAACAAGATCCATTGAAATTGTACGTAACGCCATTTGCTCATTGCACGCTGCACCTATTATTGTGGAAATGGCGGGACTAGGGACATGTTTTTAAGCCAACGGGCATTTTTTCTCGAATTCCTCTTGCTCTTTGCGACATAAATCAAATTCATTTGTATTGTAATACATGCATCCAACATAACCATCCATCTCCTTCGTGCACCTCTGATGAAGATCTTTCAGCCTGCAAGGACAAAATGTCATAGTTAGAAATGTGACAAGGCATGATGCCTCTCCTTGCTCAATGAAAAAAGAAGCACGTGCTAACATGTATATCAGTCTGTTTGATGTGAGAACTGAAACATTTTATGCAAATTTCTTCATGAATTCTTTGGGAACTTTGATAGATTTTTCCAATACCATTATCGCTCAAGTTTTCATAGACATCATCGAATCAACTGGACAATCAAATCACTGAAAAAAACAACTCCAAATCTTAAGTAGTGCAGACATAAGAATGTGATGCAGCATTCAAAAACTTTGAAGAGAGAAAAAGGAATGATGATCCTTGAAAATTAGTCAAATTCAAAGGCTGTTAGTGAGTGTCTAGGAACCAGTGGGATTTTCCTTTTTCATTTGGGAAACACTCTCCTGAACTTGAAGTCAATGGAACCCAATTAAATGGGTACACTTTCTCTAGTGGTTCTAGGCCATTGCATAATTTGTGCACGTTGCTATTTGCTAATATGTAGGACAATGGCAACTTCAGGATGTCTACAAATATCACCGGACAATGAAATGTAAAGTGGGGGAAAAAATGAGCATAAAAGGTCCAGAATATAATAGAAAAACAACCAAGTATTTGACCAAAATGATACTATATCGTCATAAAACCCGGATTCAATGTGCTACCTGGGTTAGGCTTACTTTGTACACATTCACCATTAGTGTTCAATGAATAAGGGGTTATGTATCTTAAGTTTTAACTTATAAGAAACCTGGAGTAAGGACGCACTATTACATTCAACAAGGTGTGGACCAAGGATACCGAAAGCTGCAGCTCACAAACTTTATGAAGTAAAGTTGATATGTATGACAAGAAAAGAGTAATACTGATAGCTTCCATGTAAGTAGCACCAAGACTAATGGTTTAAAACATATATTGCATTTAACACAGGTTGTAACATGCATCTGTTAAAAGTCATTGGCGCTAACTACTAACTGAGTGTAATGAGGAGGATGAAAACATAAGAGCTAGACCATATGGCATTGCTCTAAACATTTGTTTGGATATATGGTCATGCAATGTAATAAACATTGGTGCATCACAATGTATTGGTCTCTAGCTCAACAAAAATTTGGGAATTCTCTAATACCCATGAGCCATATTGAGCTCACTTGAGCAATCGAAGTCTAGTTTTCTATAACCCATGAGCTACATTGAGCTCATTTGAGCAATTGATATAACCCATGAGCCACATTGAGCTCATTTTGAAATATCCAAGTCACAAATTGTAATTCTCTATAACCGATGAGCCACACTGAGTTCACTTGAGCAATCAAAGTCTAAGTTTTCATAACCTATGAGCTACATTGAGCTAATTTGAGCAATCGATACAACCCGTGAGCCAAATTGAGCTCATTTGAAATATCCAAGTCGTAAATTCTAATTCTCTACAACCGATGAGCCACGTTGAGCTCATTTGAGCAATCCAAGTCTCAAATTCTATAACCCATGAGCCACACTGAGCTCATTTGAACAATCCATATAACCCATGAGCCACATTGAGCTCATTTGAAATAGCTGAGTCGCAAATTCTAAATCTCTATAACCGATGAGCAACGTTGAACCATTTGAGCAATCCAAGTCTCAAATTTTATAACCCATGAGCTATATTGAGCTCATTTGAGTAATCCAAGTATCAAATTCTATACAAACCATGAGTTACATTGAGCTCATTTGAGCAATCCCCAATCCAAAAATTCTATACAACCCCATGAGTCACATTAGCTCATTTGAGTAATCCAACCCACAAATTGTATATAACCAATGAACCACATCGAGCTCATTTGAGCAATCCATGCTTCAAATTCTCTATAAATCATGACCCCAGTTAATCAAAATTTTCCAATTCCAAAGGGAAAGGGTCCAAAGCATACGAATCTCAGGGTGAAAACTTGAAATGGCTTACAGGGTAAGAACGCATCGAGTGACTTGGCGACCTTTGTCGAGACACTTCTCAGGGTTTGGGTCCTTCTTCTTGCACTTGAGAAAAGCCACGTTCTCCGCTTGGCAGTTGAACTGAATGTGCTTCGCCGCCGCCGTCAGGACAGCCGATGTTGGTATCGGATCTCCTGCTGGGTCCACTGCGCTCGCCATTTCCCACTTCCTCCGATCGTTTCTGATAAAATAAAAATTTAAAAATTGTAAATTTTGAGATATTAATTGGAAAAGAAAGCGCAGAATTGGTAAAGTTCGCACCTTTACGCCTCGTTTCTGTTGTGTTTCTGCGGTTGAATGAGTTCTCTCGGCCGAACATACACACCACCTGGACTGACTTGGCGCTGGAGGTAGGGGTGGGTTCGGTTCGGTTTTTTGCGAAAACCGGAAACCGAACCGAAATTACTGTTCGGTTCGGTTCGGTTAGGTTTTCTATCGGTTCGGTTTCGGCCCGGTTCGGTTTTTTTTTTTTTTTTTTTTTGTTTTTTTCCCCAAGTAGCTTAAAAAAAGTATATGAAAACAACTTGCATCCATTTTGTAATAAGTCCTATTTCAACATAATCGTCAAGACTCAAAATAAGCATTCCAAATTTCTAATATAATCATAGTCTCAACTCAAAGATAATGAAAATAAACATTCAATTCAAAGTTTAATTATAATCAAGTGTTCCAAAGTCCAAAGTTAAATAAACATCAAAGTTTAAATCTTCCAAAAGTCCAAACTTAAAATAAACATCAAAGTTTAAGTATTCCACATCTAAAAGACTAAAATAAACATTCCAAATTTCAACTTTCAAGTGCCCCATAATGAGAGTGATCCACGTACTTTTTCAACGACAATTTGCTTGCTAACGCTTGGGTGGCCTAGGGGGCAACATATCACCTTTTTTTGAACTTCCACTTGCCATTTCTACATAGAAATAATAAAAGAAAAGATACTAATTAAAATGTTATTTAAAATAATCTAACAAAATCAAATGCAATAAAGGTTTAAGGGTTTTGTTAAAAAGATTAAAAAATTAAAAATAAACTCACAAATCCTGGAGGCATGAGGGTTCGAACCCATGCCTCCAGCTTGTAAAGTTTCATTGAAACCAACTTGGCAACAGATTCTGTTTTGTTATGATTGTATGACTAAACTATTTATAAATATTCAAAAAAATTATATATATATATATCGGTTCGGTTCGGTTTCCGAGCCTCAAAAACCGAAACCGAACTGGTCAGATTCGGTTTGGTTCGGTTTGACAATTTCGGTTCGGTTTTTTTGCGGTTCGGTTTTTTTCGACCTCGATCCGGTTCGGTTGTCGATTTTTTTCGGTTTTCGATTTTTTGAACCCACCCCTAGCTGGAGGAGCAAACGAAAAGGATAAAATAGAAAATTTCAATTTTGGCCCATGTATTTTTCTCTATAGTTTGAATTGTGCCAATTAGTTTCTAATAATTGTTGCAATGTAAAGATAAATCCCAATTTGTAATTGATGAGTGAATAAGGCTTTTTTTGACCGATTTGGGATTTTTTTTTTAATAAATGATATTATCTACAGTATGGGTGGAAGAGTGAGTTAAGCCTCATAATGGGCTAACAATAATGTGATTCAAATTCGCATTTAGCGAGAATTGAATCTAAGACTTCTCACTTACAAGTGAAGAGAAATATCATTAGACCGTAGTACTAAGTGGCTTAACCGATTGCGATTTAGGTTCAAACTCTTCCTTTTTTTTTTGTGTAACTTAGTGATAGTGTTGTAAATTAGCCGGAAATAGTTCGAAATTTGATCAAGTTCAGCTTGTGTTTGGCTAGGCAAGGCTTGGCGTGTGAAACAACCAAGCCAAGCCTAATTTGACTCAATTAAGAAACAAACCAAGTTATTAGTATGTTTGGTTCTTAAAGCTCGTGAGCAACTTGAAGTTTTTTTATGAGATAGCTCTAGTTAGACTTGAGCTTCTCTTGGTCGTTCAAGTTTGAACGTAAGAGCGAAATACATGTCAAACCAATTCTTATTTTTAATTTTTTTTTTCTGATACAGATTCGAAGGCTCAAATCAAATCAAGGTAATCAACAAATAAAAAAGGGTTGTTTTATTAACATCCCACATTTTGTTGACCACACTCCACATACTGAAAACACCCCACATTTACTTTTTAAATTAAAAATTATTTTAATCCAGCCCATGTAAATTCCTACACTACCCTTACACCCCACAAGGAAATAATAAGGTTGTTGCTGCCTTGTTGGGAGATTTATCCAGTGTTAGAAAGAATTGCTTCTGTTTGTCGAATTCCAGGAAATAAAATGCGCCTAGCTTCTAGTGTACTGCTATCCGTATAATTTAGCTGTTTTTGTTTGGTTCTTGCTCTAGTCTCTGACTTGACCTCTTACATTTTTATCCTATTTTGCTGGGATTTCAAACTTCAACTAGCTTTTCTCTTCTTGAAGTCTCACATTTCAACCGAAAAAAGAGAAATGAAACTCTCTTTTCCAGACATTCTTAACTGCCAAATGGAGTCAGTTTCTGATTCATAATGAATGATTATGCATGTATCAACATCAATATATTTCCCTTACAAAACATCTCATGGGTTCCTTGCAACATTTGCGATTGCGATTGCGATTACACCCCCAGCTTATGAAAATTTTAAAAAAGTGATATCGGAATTTGCAGAAAGTGTTTTCAAATTTGAACTCTTAGACTACAACTCGAAAAAAAGAAAAATCGATCTCAACATATTCTTTGTGACATTCTACATCGCCCAGGAGAGTGATTCTTATATGTATATTCCCATCTCTACTTAGCACGAGGCATTTTGGGAGCTCACTGGCTTCGGGTTCTATAGGAACTCCGAAGTTAAGCGAGAAGGGGGCTAGAGCAATCCCATGATGGGTGACCTACTAGGAAGTTGCTCGTGAATTCCTAAAAACAAAACCGTGAGGGAATGGTAAGCCCAAAGTGGACAATATCGTGCTACAGTGCTGGAGCGGGTCCGGGAAGTGGTCCCCCCCCAGGGTCGGGATGTGACAATTTGGTATCAGAGCCTAACCCTAGTCGCGAGTGTGCCGACGAAGACGTCAGGCCGCTAAGGGGGGTGGATTGTGGCATCCCACATCGCCTAGGGGAGTGATCCTTATATGTATATTCCCATTTCTACCTAACACGAAGCCTTTTGGGAGCTCACTGGCTTCGGGTTCCATAGGAACTTCGAAGTTAAGCGAGAAGGGGGCTAGAGCAATATTGGGAAGTTGCTCGTGAGTTCCCAAAAACAAAACCGTGAGGGAATGGTAAGCCCAAAGCGGACAATATCGTGTTACGGTGATGGAGTGAGCCCGGTAAGTGATCCACCCTGGATCGGGATGTGACATTCTTGAATTGTTATTAGGTTTTGATGTTAAAAGAACGTACATAGTGTACTATTTAGGGCTTAAATAGTCATTTTATATCAAGATATATGAGTTATTTATTATTAAATTTTATGTGGTGTGTAGTCAACAAAATGTGGGTGTTAATAAAAAAACCCAATAAAAAACTTAAAACGGTATTTTAATAGTGTTTCTTCCTTTTTTGTGGAATTCGGTGGAAATAACCAAATAGGATTTCAAGTTGTCGCTCAAAAAACCCTAAATACTACAAATTTTGAAAAGCCAAAGTCCTTTAGCCGAACTGGCAAACATCTATTTGAAAACTTTCTAAAAGTAAGATATTGCTGTAAGTTTATGCTCTTATTTGTACAGTAGTGTATATAAAACCTTATATCTTCCGATTACTAAGTCTACAAGAAATGGCATGATCAATGATCAAACACTATATTCTATCATTCATGTACACTGCCAAGTTGTGAAAAAAATATTTACACAATTGAACCAACTTGCTACAAGACATGGCTCGAAAAGTTGGAGTTCGAGCTCGGCTCATTTTGGACATAAACAATCATAATAATTAATTAAATAACTTCATAAATGAGGGATGTCCCTGTGAGTGAGGTTGTATTTGTCCTGAATTTTCTATTTAATATTTTACTAGAAGATGTATGCATTTTAATTTGATTATAATCAATAAATTCTATTCTTGGAAAAAAAAAATTTATTTCCCAAACTATTTAATTTAATTATGACTTCTAAACCTTAATCTTAGAATCGGGGTGTGCGACCTTTTAGGTTCTTGTTGAGTGTGATCTTTTAGGTTCTTGTTGACAAAGTTGTGAGATGAATTAGACTCTTTTAATTCTTTGTCATATTTAAAACTTATCTTTTAACCCAACTCTTTGTGAAGACAACAATGATTGTCTTCGAGGATCTCATAGATCACAAGAGACGCCTAGTCGCATGTCATGGTCCCTAGTCAATGTACTATTTATGAGAGAACCTACATCGTTGCAATTACAATGAAATTTAAGGTCCTTCTAATACAATACTCTTGGTAACATTAGTTAGGCTATTTCATGTCAAGTGCCTAAGTGATCAACTCATTATTCAATTCAATAGGTTTGGAACTTCATTTCAAATCACGATGCTTGCCCAAATATTTTGAATCATGTTGATGAGCATTCTTCTTCAATTGTGAAGGTTAGAGATTCATTGTTGTACTTTCACTTGCTTCTATGATTAGATAGCTTAAGCCCAACGAAGTCGTGGACACCCTATCATACCGGAGTGTCTTTAACATAATCTAAGATTAAGGAACTAACAAGAAGACAATTGGGGTGCCTCTAGTTTGCATTACTATAACAACCAAGTTCTTATTGACATGAGTATGTATCAAGTACACACACATACGATCTTGAGGTGTTTGCGTCTAGTACACTACATCTTTATTAAGCACTTACACATTTGTCTTAGCGACTCCTGCTAATGGCTTGAGACTAACCATGCATTCTATCCTACAATTGTGCATACAGAGGATGTACCAGTCTTACTAGATTATAAGATATCCACTCAAATAATCCAACGACCAAAAGCAATGTTTAGGATAAACACATGTGAAGTTGGTTGCCTTAACATTATTTCATAAGTTACCTTTACATATATATAATTGTTATCCATGGACTCAGTAACAAGATTACATTGGTAATCTACCTATAGTGATCTTGCCCAATGATTAGATTATGGACTAATTCTTGTATTACCTTAAGCAATCAACTAATCTTGATTACTTTGAGGGCATGCATCCAACAAAAACATCATTTCAACTTGCACTAGTTGTAACATTCTCAAAATCTGGCCAAACCCTTGGGCTGTGTGATCCACCAACCCAAACTCGACCCATCATTTTTATCTCACTCCTGTGATTACCCCATCTCTTGAACACTCTCACTTTAACCTCTCTCACAACTCACCCTCACCATTTCTGCAAACATACCTTTAGCACCGAGAGCCTTAACTCTCACTATTTCTTGTTTCCCAGCTAATCA